CCTTTTGTACAGTAACATATTTTTGCGAGAATATGCAGAATAAAAAGAATATCTTCTAGCAAGTATTTATAATAATTTGCTCATCGTGGATCTTTTTAACAGTATTTTCACAACTGAATACGCTCCATTAATCTACGTATAGTAGAGTAAATTTATTTCGTACACGTACGAATTTTTATTTAATATTTTATAATGTACGAAGTGAATTATATAATAATTAATATTATATATAATTTTGTTCTTAAAGGTAAAAGTGCTAAATATTAAGTTTATTTATTAATTTATATATAATAATGGTTGAATAAATTATTCTATAGTTATTGCAACTGTTTTATAGCTTTATAAAATAGTTTACTCTTAGCTAACTGTATAGAACTATTATCCTCGTAACTACTATTTTATTCTTATTATAACTATAAAATAGTTTATTTAATACTATATATATATATATATATATATTATATATTATTGTACATTGATTGCACAAATATAAAATTTCTATAGTAGTTGTCACCTACATAGTTGCCACCGCTATATTTTTTTTAGATGCGAATCCAGGGTTTCGCACCTAACGCAAAGTTTCTCCGTGGAACAAATAAATGCCCTACCATCGCAGTTACAAAGGTTTGTAATGAAATGTAATTTAAATTGGCAAGAAGGAGAGAAGAGAGGAGGGCTGCCGGACAACATGAAAGTGTCGATGTCGATCGACGAAACGTGACGACGCTTTAACGAGGATTCAATTTTGTCACCGCTCGGTCGTGTCGTGCCCGGAGAAAATGTGGAAAGGAGCCGGGAACTTCCGGGGAAGTTTCTTCTTCATCCGAACACCCGAGCTTTTATTACCGGACGTCCGGGGAAACTTTCTCTCTCGCGCGCGGTTTCGGCGTCGAAACTTTCGCCTGCGGCGCACAACCGCCGTAATCCACCCTCACGGTTAGAGACATTCCTCCCTCTCTTTCTCTTCCTTTCTCTCGCTATCTGAGAAACCCCCTCGGAATTTGATTAAATAGGCAGCGCGCAACATTCGCGGCACTCTCGAATTTGATTCGCTTCGTCGAACCGTCGCTGTCAGAAGTTTCTCGCCTCCACCTTCGTGACTCCAGTTAAGGGAAGACAGTCAGACGTCTGTCTCGGTACGTCGCACCAATCCCGACGTTCTCCACCCAAAAGAACCTAAATGCATTTTGACCCTAGGAGCGACTTCTCGGGAATGCAAATGTGTTCCCCAGTGATACCGCGCGTCTACGCGAATTCTCGTGTTACGAGCGACGTGTTTCGCTCGGCCGGGTGTAGCTTCGCCGAGATCTGCCGGTGGCGTCAGAGAGGAGATAAGGCGGGAAATAAGACGAGGTGCGCCTTAAGTTCGCTATTTGCCTCCCAATTTGTCGCGCGTGCTCGTCCTCAATTATAAACTCCAGGAACAGGTCTTAATTCTCTCTCGTTCCCCCCCTCTCTCTCTCTCTCTCTCTCTCTCTCTCTACGTGAATCTTATCGACGACTCCGGTTACGCGAACGGACGCGTCCGTCAACGAACGACGTAATCGAGGAGGTGATTTTCCCTTGCCATTGAGATGAGTCCAAGTTGTATAATTTAACACCCCGCGCGGAGTTCGTTTCGACGTCCCGATGTTCATTGCCGACTAAAGCCGACGCTGCGTGCTTTCAGCAGCTATTCCGCCGCTTTCGCTTGGGATTGAGATACTTCTTACTCGGGTCGCAAACTAGTATATCGCAATTCCGACGATTGGCGCGCGGCGATTCAATGGACCGCCATAGTTTCGCTGACGGGTTATTGCCAGATCCCATCCCTCCGCTTCTTTCCTGGATATAGAGGTGAATAAAACGAGAAATGATGTCTGTGCATTTTCACCTGTCATATCGAGCCGCCAAGTAACACCGCGCTTACGATGCTCTCTCATTTAAATGATGGATTGCGCGGGTGCTACTACATTCTTTCGTGGACGCGGTTAATCACTCGTTAACGTCTCGTGAACTTTCGCGATAATGAAGCGCGACCTCTCCATCTGAATCGACTTGCGCCCTTATCCGCGGGATGAACGCGGTTCGGACTGATAGATCGCGGATCTCGGCGCAGAGATCCGAAGTGTCGAGGAGACGAGCCGCTCGACAAGCTTGTCTCATTAACCCTTCATTACTTGCGTGGGGTGTCCAGGACACTCTGCCACTGAGGGAAAAGTTTTTGGTATTTATGACTATAATTGACAATAATCTCACTGGCTATAATCTGACAATTTCATGTTACAATAGTATAATTATGATTATAACTATAATTTTAATAATATTATAATTCACTATAATTACTATAATTTTAATAATAGATAATAAATATATATGTGTATAATTCTATTAACAAATATATATAATTGGCAACCAAAAATAATTATAATTATCGTTTTTTTATAATTATTTTATTATAAAATGGTTGCAATTGCTATAATTTAATTACACACCCAAAAAAAGATAATCTAATTGTAAAGTAAAATTTCCGGTAACATCATATTCTAAGCAGAAACTTTTACAGAAAGAGTATTCCTCTTCCAATGCACTGGACTATTCATCAAAAATGTATTGGAGATTATTCTAACAGTTTTA